TTGATTTACTAGAAAGAATATTATACAATTTACAGTTGGTTGGTCGATATTTGGGTACTCTAATAATATGTGCTCCCCTGGTGTTATGCTGATGAATATCAGATTGTAATAACCAGATTTAGCAAATTTTTATGGATTTAAGTAGAGTATTCAAAATGAAAAATGGTGGAAGCGTCATGATTTTCAATTTTTTGAATGGTGGCTTGCAAGTATCTTTCTCTATACTTGGCTTTGAACAGCAATTTTCCATAATTGAGATGAATTTGGAACAAGAAGAAATATATGGACTCTAAAGGGAAAGTTGATTGATACAATTTTCATTATTATCAATATGATTTTTGGTGTAGTTCCAGTAAGTTACTGTATATATTGCTGATATCAATGTCAGTTCTCTTATTTATACAATTAGAAAACTTATTAATTTCAATCATTTCAAGAAAAAGGCGCTTGGAAATATTTTTTCTGTATGTAAAACTTTGATATTAGAGTAATTTGGTTTATGTCCTGTTTCTATAGAATGTTGTGCTAATGCACATTATTTCTTATTAAGCTTTATATCACTTTTATGTGAAGTTATTCTATCTTTAAGAATTCTAGATGTTGTTCCAACATAATCCAAATTACAATTGTTACAAGGAATGTTATAAATCACATTTGACTTTTTGGTAGCATCCCTTTTATCTTTCAACTTGTTATTCAAGTTCTTTATAGTTTTAATATTTTTTGGCATATTTTGATATTTTGTTCATTATGAAAAAGTTTTATGATAGGTATTTGAAGATAAATTTCCAAGATTAGGTATAGATTTATAAGAAAAATTGATAGGTGAACTATTATTATTTACATACATTTCTGTTGATTACATCGGAATTTGTATTACTGTCAGTATTGAAAATTATTTTATTGAGAAGTTTTCTGGGATAGGAATTTTTGATCAATATGTCTCTAAGAAGTTTGAGATTTTCAATTCTCTTTTTCAAACAGAGTATCAAATTGATTTTAACTTATTTCTTATGAAAAGAGTAGTAATTGATATATCTTCCTGAATTAGTAGGTTTCACATACCAATCAGTGATCAAGGAATTACCAGTTTTACGGATAACTTTTGTATCAAGAAAAGGAAGGGTCTGATTACTTTCTAATTCGATAGTGAATTGTAATTTTTTATTATATCTATTGACAACATTAAGAATTTCATGAGATTTGTCATAAGGTATTGTACAAATGACATCATCAACGTATTTCTTTAAAAAATGAATATCAAAACTCAGTTTAGGAAGGATGTTATGGTGTGAAAATAACTTCTAACGAACTAGGACTAACTGCAGCTAAAACTTCTATTATTCATTAGTAGAATCACATCTAAGATATGGGATACCTTTCTGGGGGGTAAGCAATCAAACTCGACTCGAGTCGATTTTTATTCTGCAGAAAAGGTCATTACGATTTCTCTGTAGAGCCAGACGGCGAGATTCTTGTAGGCATTTCTGGGGTTATTAATTGATAATAAATTGAAATTTGAGGACCGCATAATATCTCTTAACAAAAAACTTTCATCTGGTCGTTAAGATTTCTCTGTAGGTCCAGGCGGCGAGATTCTTGTAGGCCTTTGTTTGTAGCAAACAAAATTGTATCACTGTATGCTCTATTCATTTTAGAAACAGTTTGTTTAGTGCATAAGCATAGAACAGAACTTCCATCTTTTGTCTCTCATTACACCATACGCCAGACCCTAAATTTAAGTCTTCCCATACCTAACACTACTTTAATTAAAAATTCTTAAAAATTCTATATTGTATAATGGTCTCAAGATGTATAATCATCTTTCAAACTGCTTAAAATGCGTAGTAATCTGTACTGAATTTCGAATACTCTAGATATTTTTATCAATCTACTAGCTTATATTCTGATTTCATGCACTTGACTATGTTTTTTCTTTCTCATAATGTTCACCAAAGCTTTGTCAATAAGAACTTTTCTTTGGACAATAAAGCATATTTATTATTATTATTTGTATAAAAATGAAGAACTAGAAGGCGAAAGAGTATCTTTAGCAAAAATAAATATTTCCTCAAAATATACCCCTTTCAGTTGTGTATGAAAGTATAAGAACTCTAATCTGCGAAGAAAACAAATTATTATATTATGACCAGACATGACAATGGGTAAGAAAGAAATGTTATTTATTTAATTTATTCATTTACAAACTGGAAAGTCTCAATTCAGTTCACAAAACATTATACAAGAGTGTGCATTATACTTAGTGGTACTAATACTTTCATTCCAAAATAGTAGGCACCAAATTCTTAGAAATTACAGACGTTTTCGCCTTAATTTGTCTATTCCACTGGCGTACGGAAATTATACTAAATAGATGTGAAAAATGATGATAAAATATATAGAATAACAACCTTGACAATAATGTTTTCGTTATAATGCAATAATGTTGTACAATTTCAAATCTGATCTCAAGAAATCCATATCGGTTGACTGATCAATCCTGGTATCAAAGGCCTATGAATATTAAAAAGTGAAAAAGAATATTAGATAGCTGTCAATTGTTTCTTAGACCGTCTCACTCATTATTATTGAGATGTTTAGTAGTTTAGTTCGTCAAACTGAAATTGGACTGTTTTCAATGCCTCCATGAGAGGAAGCATTCTCTACTTATGAAAAGTACTATTTTATCAAGCCGCATTCGAGTTTGATTTTACTGAAACCAATGCACCAGATCTCGTCCCAGGCGCCAACTTCAATGCAGTTTTGATAGTGAGATTCAAGATTCAATAAAGAGAAAATAAATCAATTTAACATTTGACCAACAAAAAATCTATTAACATATATTGCCTAAGGTTAGCTATGTTGTAACGAATGGAACTCATAAAAATATTTCAATAATTTTCAATTTTTATTTCATTAGTTTCTTGATTTTGTGTGTAAACCCATCAGTAACTAATACTTAGGTATAATTATTCTAAAAGTTGGACTATTTTAAGGTTGGTAACCATAAGCGAAACACCAAATCAGCATGGATTCATGCCCAAAAGATTTACTGTAACACACCTGACGAGCGAACCTAACATATTTTATGTGGCAAAAAGATAATAAATGAATTGAATAACTGAATATATTTCTCGTAATCTCGATTCAACAAAACAAGTTGATGCCATCTATATGGGTATAACTGTTTTGCAGGTTAGCAAATTGTTCTCAGTAAACATTGCTCACGTAATCTTGTAGAAAGGCAAATTTTCTTGCAGATTGGGTCTTCCAGACACGAATCTCGACCAGGTTGATCATTTTTGACAGAAAAATTTTCCAACACCCATCCAAAAAATTCACAATTCTCAAAAAATTAAAAATATATTTTGCAGGTCGACAAAAATTCTCTCATGCAGATATGAATCGTGACCAGATTATTCATCTTCGACAGAAAATACCCAAAAAGTTTACGAGTCTCAAAAATTTGAAAATACATTCCGCAGGTCGTTAGAAATTCTTGCAGGTCGGGTCCCACACATGAATCTCGACCAGGTGAAACATTTTCGAGTGAAAAATTTTCCAACCCCAACCCAAAAAGTTCACAAATCTCAAAAAAGGCAAATACATTTTACACGTCGAGCCTCCGACGCATGAATTTCGAGCAGGTTGATCTTTCTCGACAGAAACATTTTTCAATTCCCACCCAAAAAGTTTACAAATATCAAAAAATTGAAAATACATTTTTTGAGAATTGTGAAATTTTTGCGTAGGAGTTGGAAAATTTTTCTGTCGAAAATGATCAACCTGTTCGAGATTCATGTCTGGGAGACCCGACCTGCAAGGATTTTTGCCTCTCTAAAAGATTACGTGAGCAATGTTTACCGCAGACCTACAAAATATTTAGGTACACCTCATCTAGACTGATATAAAAATAGTCTTCGATCAGATTGTCCACTTTCTACTTTTGAAACAACTTCAAAGAATCGGATTCTCAACTTATTTAATAGCTAGTCTTATCAGTCAAGATCGCATTCAGTTTTTCGAATATGAGAGGACGTACAGTCGAACCATTACTTTTCTACTTCAGGGTGTATAATCTGGAGCCACTCTTATTCTTAATTTTTATAAATGACATTTCGATGATGATCACATGCCCTCATTTACTTTTCGCAGATGACTTGAAGATTTATTCAGGACAAATTTATTGAAAAAGTCGCCGATATTTGTAATGTATGAGTTGTTCATTAAAGTGTCCGACATGTGCAATATACAGACAGACAGACAGACAGAATGTATTTAATCATGTTATGCATACAATAAATACATTTATGACAGGTCAAAAAGAGTGCAGATGCACGTTGTAGGTACTGAGTACAAAATTGAAAGATAATATACAATTATTATTGATCATTTGAAATAAAACTTAACTGCTAGATAGAATAAAATATTGGTGCTACAGAACATCACATAGCAACATATATATAAAAAAGTAATATTAAGTGAATTAATCATTAACTGTAAGTACTATTCATATAATCCTGTGTTGAGTAAAAACAGTACATCATGACAGACGACAGCAAACAGCTTATTTTAAGAACTATTGAAAACTGGATGTTATGATTGTTTTCCATTTTCTTTTTGTAATCTGAATATTTCTTTGAACTGTCTAATTATTTGTATTTTCTCTATTCGTGAGTAAAATCTGTTGAGAATAAACATATTTTATTATAATTATTAAATATTTGAAATTTCATCGAAGCAATACTGTTTACTGGGCACCATGGAAATACTTATTTCAGTGGAGGAGGTGATTTACTTATTATTATTGTGAAATATTGCTGTATAATAAAATATTAATGCTCAAATTATTTGTGATATTGTTGGTTTCTGGTTTGTTAAAAATTGTCACTTTTCAATGCAAGAGCTTGACACAAAAAATGCACTTCTTTCAACCACTTATACCACTACATACCTTCAATAGCAAAAATGCCTTGCTCACAAAAGATAAAAACCCTAAATGTAATCAGCTGAGTTTGACTTACAAAGTTCCCATCAAAAAAGATTATGTTTTTTGTTAATTATTTCCATGAAATTAACACTTGGAAATTATAGGTCTCCTACTGAATGAACCCTCGTGCCTTGCGCAAGCACTAACATTGTAGACAAAAAGAATTGTGCTTATTTTTGATTTTCAAAGGTCCAAATAATGAACCTAGAAAAGCCATTAACCCTTGCAAATAATGAAAAATTATTTCATTTGAAGTGACCGCTGTATAAGCAGATGTTCAAACACAGTGAATGTGTAAAAAATTGCAAGTTTTTGTCAAATACTTTTTATAACATGTCAGGACATGATAAGTGTTTCCACTCTAGGATATTAAAATCATCCTGTAATCTGGCGAAACACGGGCCGATGAAAGCAACAATTCCGTTAGCCTCTCTGATGAAGCAGAGCAATAGTGGTTGCGAGTCTAGCGCTAGTACGGCAACATTTTCATCTATATATTCTTGGAGGAATAGAAGTGACCCATCTGGCCAAAGAAGTCCTGGATCTTCTTCATACAAAGGTAAAGACACTTGAAGAATTTAATTCATGCGCCAGTTGTAAGTATTAGGTGGTAATCATAATAGAGAAATGTGTGATAATTTTTTCAAATTCAAATTGACTATTAGCTAACGAAACATTCCACATCAGATTAGATTAACAATAATTCCTAATTTCAATGAGGAAAATTGTATATAAGTAGGAGTTTGATTTTATTTGAGATCCTTTTACCACAGTGAAAATGAATAAATTTTGAATCGTACTAAATTGAATCATGATCAAATAATTCATTTACAGTAATCATTTTCTCATTCTATATAGTGATGGGCATAATTGAATTACCTTGAGAATCAAATGATGTGCATTTGAGTGATCTGAAAAATCGAATTGTCATTTTGTCTTTCGAATGACAATCACTCAGATACTACGCCATTCACTGATATAATTTTACCTTAAGATTCGATATCCCACCCTGCTCGAATATATTATTAGAGTGATTACTACACGTTTACCGATTTGCCATTTGACAAGCAGGTGATATGAGACTAAAATATTCAGATATTAGTGGAAAAAACTGAAAATGATATCAAAATGAGGAAAAATATTATTGAATGTAAAATTAAGAATGGATAAAAAATGTAATTAAACAATAAGTAAAATATCACATACCAGAAAATAAAATTGGAAAAAGAAATATTGGTGAGGAAAGGAAGGAGAAGGGCAAATTTCAACCAGAAGACGATTGTAAATACTAACAATAAAAATGTCAAGAATCAACTTGGTTTACCATTTTTTTCTTTTCTTTTCCTGTCTTTTTCACCATTATTTTTTTTGTTTCTAATCATTCCATTACATTTTTTACACCCATATATTAAATCATTTTCATTATCAGTCTCAATAACTCTTATTTTTTTAAAATTAGCGTTCTCATACTTTTAGATTTCATACCTACTCATTAATAAATTTCTTTAACATTATTTTCTTCAGTAACTCGTTTGAATATTCCAGTTCTAGTGTGTCTTTAATACTTTGTCTATTTTATTTGCAAGTAATTACTGTGTTTAATCAACTACTATGTCTCTATGAAACAAATAAATCAGTATTGCAACAAAAGCTAACAAAAAAATGATATTAACAACTTTTCTGCTCTTTTCATGGCTGAAATTCACAATTCAAATCAATTCAAAATTAACTTTATTGTCTTAAGAATGTGTTTTTATTGACAAAGCATTGCAGCAGTATAACAATATAATCATTTTGAAATAGTCGAGAAAATATAAAAACAGTCTGATGCAAGAACTATTCAGTTGCTTATTATTCAAATTCTCCTCAATCTCAGCATATTCCATTTCACAATTTCCTGATGTGGTATTTAAACCAGAACTTGCAGAAGATTCATCTTCATTAAATACCTCATGGTATATCGCATTAACCATCTCGAAATCTTCATCGAAAACGTCTAGATTTTTTTTTAAAATCGTCACTTGCGTTCATTTTATTAAAACTGAATTTATGAAAATCAATAATTCACGATGAAGTTCTCACGAAAATTACTAAACTGAAAGGAAACATTTGTGGTGATAAAATAGAAAACTCAGAAATGAAATGGTTACTTTAATCAGCTGCATGGTAGCCCAATCATAGACTCGATAAGTGGAGCTACCGCCACAACACAAAGAGAGTAAACATTGCAGATTGAAGGAATGACGTAACAGATATCTAGACCAATGATATCAGGACCTTACACCCCACTGAAGGTGTGTAAAATACATAGTTGTAGTACACTGTGAACTTTTTAAAGGTGTTTTTCTCGAAAACTTGTTTATGTACATTACGTACCTTTTTTCGGTGAACAACACATATCGTCGAAGTGGTATTAATTTAATTTTTATACTTTTTATGGATGGGACACTGTTTCCAAAATTGTAAGACATACCAAAGTTAGAATCTTTAGTTCCACAATTGAAAGACTGCATGATCTTAATGAACTGAAGTCTATGGAATGGAATGGTTTTGTTGCAAAATATGACCTGATTTTTCAGGTCTTCCATATTTCAAGTGTGCTAAGTGTTCCTTATATCTTACTTCAATAGATCTTTTTGTCTGTCCATAATATTTTGCATCGTAGTCATTACATTCTATTTCGTAAATTCCAGACTTTTCCGAAATTATCGACTTTGTCTTTTTGACTTCCCAAAAGGCTCTGTAGTGTATGACTTGTTTTAAAAACCACCTTCATACCTAGTTCCTTGAAAATCTTTCCAAAGTTCTTCGTGTATACAGATTGTCAGTCAAGTTTTCTTCCAGAAATAGTGGACCAATAATGGCATTTCCAAGAATACTAGCACAAACATTAACTTTTTGTGGGTGTTGTTTATGCCTTTCCCGAAAAATATGTGAGTTTTTGTCACTCCAATAGCGAAAATTTTGTCTATCAACATTGCCATTCAGAAAAAATGAACACTCATCGCTGAAACAGATGTTTAACAGAAGATTAGGGATGGTATTGACTCGATGAGACATGATTTTACAAAATTCTATCATAATCATCCCCGTGGAGCTCTTGAATAATCTGTCTCACGTGACGTTCCTGTCTGTTCTGATACTGATCGTAAGGAGCTCGTGGGCTCTGCAGCATATATTCCCAAAACTTCAATTTGAGCTGCTTCATTCAGTACCATGAGGTTATTTTTTTTTGTTATTCAACCAGTTTCGTATAACTTATTCACCATATCAAGCATATACCGGTGAATTACATTACAATTTGGATGTTTTTCGTTAAAAAGACAAACTGTCTTTCCTGCGTCTAACTTCTCACGTAAATTATTATCATTTCAGTTCTGTCTTGAAGAATGTAAACCACTTTCACACTTTTATACACTTATTAAAGTAATCACTAGACAGCCCAACAGGTACAACTGTATGCATAATACTACCACATCGTTCAAATTTGCGAACCAATTTTTTGCCTGAAAACAGAAACTTTTCACAGCAGAAGTAGGAAAAAAGACGGCTATATGTACACTCTCTGCGATGAGAATTAAAACTTCAGCATTTACTAATCACAACTTCACTACCATCTATGGTTTACTATTAGACTAGTTTTTGATATAAATTGAATGGAGCTGATGGTTACCCGTAATCAAGGGTTGGAACGGTATCACCTAATATTCTTACCAGTTCTGGTCAAACCATGCATCTCAGTATAGGCTTAATAATTAAATAATAATTAATTCTGTTAGTTTAGAACGCTATTTTTCGGAAAATGCTCATCAAAAAACAATAAGTTAGCTACGTTTTCATATTTGTCCTTAATTAAAAATGCCTCGCCCAGTGTTATTAACGTTAACTGAAAAGGCAGAATTAGTTTTAATCTGTGGTGATGGTTATAAAACGATGCGCGAAGCTGCAAATATTTTCAACCAGCGGCATCCAGACAAAAAAAATTGCTATTCAAGTGTAAGTAGAATTTTAAAGAATTTCAAACAGACCGGCTTACTAGAATATAAACATAATACGGAGCGTACGAAACCTGTATGCACAGAAGAAAACCAGCTTGACATACTTCAAGCAGTAGTAGGAAATCCTAGAAGGTCCACCCAAGAAATAAGTTATTATAGCGGCATAAAAAAACCTCTGTGAAGCGTATTCTCAAGAAACATAACTACCATGCTTACAAAACTACATTCATTTGTACATTTCAAGAAAGAGACTATGAATTGAAATATGATTTTTCCATGTGCACTCAGAGTGAAACATAAAAACAATGAGATTTTCATCGATGTATTTATTCTGTTTGGAGATGAATCTCTTTTTACAACAAATGGGGTTCTATCATCACAAAATTACAGATGGTGGTCAGATGTCAACACAAATTTTATTATTGACAACAAAAATCAATACTATCAGAAAACAAACGTTTTGGAAACTGAAATAGAAGAGTTTTTGGATGATATGGTATTAGAAGAACGGCAAAAGTTATGGTTCCAACATGACGGATGTCCTGCCCATTCTACTAGAAATGTTTCTCAGTGGCTGAATAGGACATTTCGTAATAAATGGTTAGGACGAAATACCGATCCTCGATGGCCTCCTCGTTCTCCAGACCTTACACCCCTAGATTATTTCTTATGGGGATACTTAAAACAAAAAGTCTACAGAGATCGCCCCTTTAATAATGTTGATGAGCTTGAAACTTCAATGTGAGTTCATTGCAGAAATATTCCCGCTAATGTGTTGCGATCTACATTAAACGAATTTTATGAGCGAACAATTCGATGCATCAAAAGAGAAGGCGGACATACAGAGACGCTTCGATAATTTTTATGGTTACCATCTGTTAAGTTGTTAAGTTACCTACTGTATTTTTCTGGACTATCGCTTATTGGTTCTTTTTTGTTCATGGCTATCCGCGATAGATTTGGCAGTTTATTCATATGAACGTTATACTTAGTAAAGTATTTGCCTCGTTGAAAAGAGTATTTGTTCCATTATAGAGTTCTGTTAAATATCATTGCAACAAACATGAAGTTGACGGTCACCTAAAAAATACAAATCCAAGTAAATTTTACAAATACACTTTAATTTGATAAAAAATACTCCAAACTGATTTGATTGTGGCCACTTCAAATACTTATTAAATCAAAACAGTAAAAATATGTATCATACGGGGGTAATTCAAAATTTTCCAAAAGAAACAAAATTTGAATAGCAGGCTATGACTTCGTATCTGAACATAACTTTTAATTTTAAGCAACTTCTCTCTTCAACATATTTCTATATTTTTGAAATACGGGTACTTTACTNAGTTGAGAAGGCCATTTTGTAAAACCCATTACCACAAAATTTTAAGTTTTCATTTCGAATCGTTCTCCATATATTCCTAACGAACGCTCGTCGTGAAAGACCCTGTATATATATAAAACTGTTTCAAGAAATCTCAGTTTCGGGAAGTTAGGAAAAAATTCTTTATGGAAAAAATTTTCACAGAAATTATCTTGCATTATTTTGATATTGATAATGTATTTTCCCCCAGAGAGAATAAAACCATTACATTTATTTGGTTCAATACGGAGATCAGTCTCATTAGACACAATATATCTAAAAGGAAACTGGCCTGGTCGATCATATTGGTTTGCAAGAGCTCTACAAGTTGATAAAGCCACACAGGTATGTATGAGAATTCGTTGTTGCATTTCCGGATAACAAAATAAATATCAATATTGTTGAGAAATATTTTGAGAATAATTTCAGATGGTTTTTAAATAAGTGTTAATTTGAATTATTTAAATTTTTGGTTGGTTCATATTTTTTATCTATTGACTTGTGAACATTGTTCTGTAGTTTTTACCAATGTAAAGGCAGCTATTCATTTGTCATTGACCAGTAAAATATTGGAAATTCAAGGCTAGCCATGAAATTTACTCTTTTAGGACATTCATTTCATGGCTGGCCATGAAAATTTGTCATTTAGGGCGTTCGTTGCCAGCTACAAAATCAGTAAAAGAAAAAATAATTTCACTTATACCCAACAATAATATAATAGACATTTTAAATATTCCCAAACAGAATTTAAGACATTTTCATTACCTTAAATCATATCGATTCGAACTATTATGAGTGGAAAAAATATGACTGGAGATATTTTTACAAGGAACAATAGTATTCAGTATTCTTTTTCTGATTGATTCGGCCGTTACTTGATGAAGATCCATAGTAATTTCATAAACTACACCTTACGATTTGATCTCCACAAACTGTATTTGAGAAATATATCAAGTATATTAAAAATATATTTCTCAAATAAAGTTTGTGGATATCAAATCGTAAGGTGTAGTTACTTCTATATAGTCCTGGATTTTTGTCGCGGATAACTTCATTTCCTACAACCCTTCACATTATTTTGATTGAAAAAAAATCATAAAATCTGGAAAAATAGCGTAGTTAGATTTATTTTTTACATCAAACAGTAGTATTGTTTATATTTCATAACAAACTCGTATTAGGTCCCCAATTTTGTTGCGGAAAATTACAGCCCGTACAACCCTTTGTATTATTTCAATTTAAAAAAGGTTTGGGAAACTAGTGTTGGTGGAGGTATTTTGACATTAAACAATAGTATTCAGCGTGTTCTATAACAAGTCAATTTTGTCACGGAAAATTACACCCTCGTTTATATCACTTCGATTTCAAAAATCATAAGTTCCAAATAAATAACATTGCTGGAATTATTTTCATATGAAACAATAGTATTTGATGTGTTTTATATAGAATAAAAAAGAAAATTTACGAAGAAATATAAATTAAAAATATAGAGTAATGTATGCCCATTTCAAAATTCTGTAGCAAGTAGTATACATGTCAACCCTTCCTTTCTTTGGAAGATGAGTAGGATATTACATCTGGTTTTGGGTCTCCTCCCACCACTGACGTATTAATGACATTTTAATAACTGATGATGTCATGAAGGTGACCTTGAAGAGGTATAGGTATGAATGACGTCATAGAAATTTTCCATCGAGACTTTTATTGGATGTGAATCACGTCATAATCTTGGCATTTCCATCATCTGACATGAGGTTTTGTGTTTGTATGTGTAGGAAAGTGGGGTATATATTTAAATTCGGTGAAGGCAGGGTTTGACATTGTCCTTCATGTTCTTCCTGTACAAGTTTGTACAGAGTACACATACGTCTACATACTACACCACATAGATCCACCAACTGATGAGCGGTCCTTTCTGTTAGCTCTTCAAGTTGGTGTGTGGCGGGGAAGATCGCAACAGCAGCAAAAAAAATCACGCACGTCTCTTGGTATGGAGAGAGAGAGACATGTGCACTTCACAAAATTTTGCCAACTAATGTGTGCTCTTCTCTATGCTGAATGTCTCATCCAATGCTGGTGTGATGGGATAGATGTGACATCAATCTATCCCATCACATCTATCAACTAATGAGCAGTCCTTCCTGTTAGCTCATCAAGTAGGTGAGAGGTGGAGGAGGTTGCAGCAGCAAAGAAATTCATCAACTTCATCGTCCGTCGCTGAGTATGAGAAGATATATGTGCACTCCACAATGTTTCATCTACTAATGTGTGCTCGTCTCTTTGCCGAATTGCCTCTTCCAATGCAGCGCTGGTGGAGTGGGTGTGACATTATACGCTACCTCTCGAGGTAGATAGTGCATACGTCTGCACTGTACGAAATTTCAACGACCACTGCCTGCTCGTATCGTCTTCTATTAGCAAGTCCAGTTGAGAGTGGTGGTGGAGTTGCCTGTGACGTCTAGTAGGATACTATCATTGTTACTTTTCATTTATTTTTTATCTTATATTCCATCCTCAAGCACCCCTGTCTCAATATTACTGTTTGTGTGTTGTGTCTTTTTCCCCATTGCAAACTCATATTCCAATTTGAAACAGTATCAGGGATCTGAACAACACTCACAAAAATACTACGGTGTTTTTGCATAAATTTGTCGCGTCAGTATTGCAGAATTATTTATTTTGGTAATTTTTTTTTCATGATGACACAGTATTTGTGACTTTATATGCCCTTTATCTATTCTAAACCTTATAAATATTATATACATTTTTTCTGTCCTATATTTCATATTCAAACATGCTTATCTCGATATTACTGATTGTGTGTTGTATATATTTCCCCCGCTCTTACCCATATACCAATTTTAACCTGCATTCAGAAATAGAACAACTCTCACAAAAATATTATAGTGTTTCTGTCTGAATCTATTACCTGTCCGTTGCAAAATTGTTTGCCTATTTTTCTAAAGATCACACTGTTAGGTATGATCCGCAATAAACTGAACGTGAACGCCACCGAGTGATAGTGCGCGGTAACCATGGAAAATATCTTTGCTAAGGTGGACTGGAATTCCTGGAAGTACTGACCGACCACATGTTAGTGTCATACATTTGAGATTCATCAGATTTCGTTTAAAAACTCGTTTAAAAACTTATCTATACATTTCATTAAAATTTGTATGAAATTAAGTAAACAAAAACTAGATATATGATTATATTATTTACATAATAATCATGGTCCTTCGATCCATGATACCAAATAATAATAATAATTGGTTCATTCGAATTAAAAACAAGTGATAAAAATATTCGCCAGTTGCTTCACGTGAAGAAGGAAGCTGAGCCAAGTGCACATCGCACTAGAAGTCGGATATTGGAATCCCGGACAGCACAGGCAGTCAACAAAGTGTGTTCGTTCCTTTCGTTGTGTTCGTTCCTTTCTCATTCTTTACTCCTATCACATCCCAAATTGATGAATACTTGAGTGTATTTGATATATACTTTGAAAACAATTTGTATAATATGTAGCAAACGATTTTCACCTTATTCTCAGTGTTCATTTGATTTAAAACAATAATACGAAATCTTGTATAACATTAACAAAGTTATACTCATATTATTGCGATACAACTTTGATTCAATTACAAATTTTTGCATAATATTAGCAAATAGTTACTCATTTATCTTTCGTTTTGTCGTTTTTCGCTAAAAATTGCAATTAGCTCTTTTTCATCATGTCTGTCGCACTCGAGAAAAAGCGAGGCATGATCAAAGCTCAATTAACTAGGTTTAAGAAGTTTTATTAAAACAACGATAAAAATAAAATAAAAACAACAATAAAAATTAATTGGCGCTCCGGGGCGACTTCATTGATTCCAGTGGCGCATTTGCTTTTTCAGCTGCAGGAAAACCCGGAAAAACCAGCACCACATCATCTGAAGATCTTGATCTAACAATGTCCTCTCTCTTATTAAATAAAATGTAGGTAGACATATTTCAAAAAAATGTTTGATGAACAAAGCTCTGACATTATTCAGCTCGAACAAAGACTTGGTGAAACCGAACCGTTGTTGGAGGAATTTTACAATATACAGTATGAGTTGGAACTTGAGAATACAGATGAAGATGCAGAAATTTTCAATACTATTCATGAGGAATATAACTCATTTGAGAATATTCATTACCAAATAATAAGTGATGCTCGTGAATATATTATGAAGAAAACATCATCTGCTGACCCGGCTTCTCAGTCTCAAGCTTTGACCTCGCAATAAAACGTACCTGAAATATATATTCAATTACCTGCTCTCTATTTACCAACGTTTGATAGCTCCTATAGTGAATGGTTATTTTTCAAAGACACATTCAAGTCGGTGATTCACGAAAATACTTCCCTATGGCCAGTACAGAAATTTGACTATCTTTGAAAGGCGAGGCTGCAAACGTTATAAAGGCGTTAGAAATTTCTGATGCAAATTATACTATAGGATGATCGGGCTTGATTGAACGGTATGAAAACAAGCAACTATTAGTATCCAATAATATAAAAGCATAATTTAACTTTCCAACAGTAAACAAGGAGTCGTCCACAGCTTTGCGTTAATTGGTTGACGGCACATCTCGTTATTTGCGCGCGTTAAAAACCTTGGACTTGCCAACGGAACATTAGGACACCCTCATAATTCATTTAATAGCAACTAAATTAGATCATAGTACCAGAAGAGAATGGGAAGCAAAGAATACCAAATCAGAATTGTCGGAATCAAAAACACTTATTGATTTTTTGAAAGAACGGTGTTGTCTATTAGAAACTCTAAGTTATGAAAAAACGATTGTTTCCGGTAAATCTGTGAATTCACTGGTATTAATAGTTTGAAAAAGTGTGTCATTTGTTCTCGAGATCATTTTCATTACAATTATTCGAAGTTTTTGAATATGAAACCTAGCGCTCGATTTGAAGAAGCAAAACGCATCAGGCTATGCATTAATTACCAAAGAAATAGTCACTCTACGAAACAATGCACTGCTAGCAAATGTCGGAAATGTGGCAATTTACACAATACCTTATTACATTTCATGAATAAAAATCAATCTTCAGACTCTTCTTTGAACAAAAAAAATTCTAAAACGTACCCTCAGAATAGTAATTCTTCTTGATCAGATGACAACGCTACTCAATCAAGTTCGTTATGTTCTACACAAGACAAAAAACATACTCCTTTCAACAGTATTGGTTGATGTTATTGATTTCTCTGGTAAAGTACATACTTGCAGAGCGTTGCTTGACGGCGGATCTGAAAGCAATTACATTAACAAAAATCTGAGTGATAAATCTAAAAACTAATAAA